CGTCAACAGATGTGGGTCCAAGGGGCCCTTCTTGTTTGGGCCCGGTCCCACTGGGTCGCAATGGGTCCCAAGTAGGTCACGACCAAGTCCCAACCAAGGAGAGTACCTCAAGGTCCTACTTTCTGCCTCTACCATACTGAAAAACGAACTTCAACTTCAAGAGAGAACCTACAAACTACATCCATTCACATATGAAAAGACAAAGCACTGTAGAAAGATATGGCTTTCAAAGCAAGATATTTCATTTCCAAATCCATCAGGTTAGTAAGTAGTTCGCACACCAATCCACACAACCAAGACTTCAGAGGAGTAGGAAAGAGACCCAGAAGTACCCAAGCAGGACAAACAATACCATGCACAGATACATGGGCCACCCTTAGGTGCACGACACTTACCTGAGTGGCCCGGACTGTGAGATGAAGTATAACTCACCCCCCTTCCTCATGTGGTCTTCCTAACCCTATTCGCTACCTCTACACTAGTATCCAATCATGTAGGAGGGTCTCACTTCCAACACCAAAGTGCAACGCCGGATCCCCCGTCGATGCTGAAGAGCGAAGTAGTAACTTGCAGTCCGTAGATGCAGAATGGCTACCTCCCTCAAGATAGCCTACTTGAGGGAGGCCCTCAAGTCACCCTTGCGTCAAATTCCAGGTGCGAGTGACTCTCACTGTCGCCTCTCTCAACTTGTCGCATGAAGTCTTCTTGATGTGTCTCGCCACCACGTACTTACTCTCAGACAACCTGGTCAGGTTCAATACCGACCCAGCATGACCTAACCAGGTGGGGGCAGCTTCCCCAGGCCACGCTGCCCCACTTCCCACTTCGGACCAACCCTAACCCTAAGTGGTTAGCCCTTACCACTTAGGTTAGGGTTAGGGTGGATAAGTCAACTCTCACCAGCAAGTAGAATCCGCTCTGATACCAATGTTATGATCCTGGGCAATTTTGAAGTACACATTCATCAGATAGTACAATGCCGTCCAATTGCAAAAAGAAATGAATAAACTTGAGAGGAGAGAGAGAGGGTAAGAAGAAGAAGAAGAAGAAAGAAAGAAGAAGAAGAAAGAAAGAAGAAGAAGATAATGTACACCAGCATAGACAAATGATAAAGCTTTTCTTCTTCGCCAAACACTCTCCTCGTCCTTTACTCCTCTCTTATTCACACACGAAATAATAGTACAATATTGAATGGCTGAACCAGAATCAATGTTCGAATCCCTCTGCTACTGCAGGTATCACTCTCATAGGCCGAGGCTATGGCGGACTACTGGGCCTTGCCCTGATGCCCAAAGGACAACCCAAAGCAGCTATGGCTGCTCTAGCTCAGGCCGCCATGCCTGACTCTGCCTCAAAGCTTCTTGGTGTAGCTCTACCCGAGCTGCGGTCTTCCTGCTGCAGCGCCCACCAAGGTGATGAAGATAGTTGCCACCATAGCCAGGTAAGTACCTCTGGCGCTCCCCTTCCTCCTGCTCTTCTTCCTCCTCCTTGTCCTTGCTCCTTCCACAGCAGCTCTGCTCCAGCCAGCGCTCCAACCATTGTGTCGCCAAACTTGCACACTGACAATGAGGCTGGGCTCTTCACCCGGCCTGGAGGTATAGCGGTCTGCTTGCCTCTTGGGCGGTGACTTCCAGGCCGCTCGGCCTTCCAAGCAACCAGCACCTCCTCCCTTTTGGAGGGAAACATCATTGCAGACTCTGATATTGCCCGTACAGGCTCTAGACTCAGACTGGTTTAACTGGTACCCGCCTAGACCTAGCCTACAACTACTGGGCCTCTCAAAATGCCACTTCTGTCTTCTTCTGCTCGGCCTCCAGTACCAGCACATCTACCTCTTCAGGGTGCGGTACCGGCCTACCTGCTACTTGAGTGTTTTCCCCCGCTGCAATCCTCAATGTCATGGCCACAGGTAAGTACCAACCCTGAGGGCCCAACGAACGAACAAGTGCCCTTGCGGGTCACACACACATTCAAGCAAACCAGCACTCAGACAGACATGCAGACCAGCAAGCATGCACACACACACAGACATGCAGACCAGCAAGCGTGTACACACACAGACTTAGAGAACTTAGTAGCAAGCGGGAAACTCAGCAAGGCATTCAGTCAATGAGCAAAACTCAGAAATCAACTGTGTGTCTCAGTCCGTGTTTGGTCGGGCCATCACACCTATCAACTATCTTGATTCCTCACTTAGCTCTCTCATAGTAAGACACTATGTGCGGTGCTGTTTCAATTAGCTCATCCTTAGTAAACCAGCGATCTTCAGAAGGCTCTTGATAGGCGGATCTGACTTTATACTGCCACCTACCCCTGCGTCCGGATCTATAGACAACCTCAGCAACAATGCGGTCGACGTCATACTTGCCATCCATATCAAGAGGAATCATAGATCTCTGAGACGGAAACGGCTCGTTGCTGACACAAGGGAGTAACTTGGAAGCATGAAACACCGGGTAAGTGTGCAAATGCAGAGGAATCTCAACAATGTAGGACGGACCATCCACATCACCAATCACGTCGAGTATCTGCCACAGTCCCCTATATGCAGGCAATAACTTCTGCGAGATGTTCTCCTTCGGGAGAAACCCTTTAGACTTCACCCAGACCAAATCCCCAACAGCGAACTGCGAAGGTCTGCGGCGTTTATTTGCCTGTTCTATCATGCAATGAATTGCAGGGAGATGCGGGCTGTAAACTAATTTTGTTGTTGCCTGTTTTGTGCTTTCCGGGATTCGATCCCGTGACTGGTATTGTGCGTGTGTGTGTTTGTCTGTGTGTACACTAACTGTGTTTGTTGGTTCCCTGTTTTTGGCGTTGGAGGACTTGAACCCGTGACTTGTAGTGTGTTTGTAGTGTATGACTGTTTTTGAGGTTTATTGGGCTTGAACCTTGAACCTGTCGCTAGTAGTCTCTACTTCGTAGTCTTAGGCCACTCACCCTTGTTGTTTTGTC